TAAATTTTTAGCATATTATTTAACAATTATTAATAAATTAATTTAAACAATTAGACTCATAAAATGGGCAAGGGAATTGACTGATTGTCTCATTGCTGTAAAAATTTTTATCTGGTATGATATTATATGTATAAGAATAACAAAGGTATACTTCAACTTTTTTTAAGTAGTAAACTTTTAAAATTTTCATACCTTATTTACAAATATGATTAAGATCTGGATGATTAAATATTATTTTTTTATTAGCAAAGGGGAGATGTTAATGAAATGGGGTGAAATTTATGAACCCCCACACACAGAGATAGTAGGCTAATTATACTAATTAAAAATTAATTAAATTCACTAGTTTCGTGGTCCGCATGACAATTAATATATTACAATTAATTGAGGTTTTCAGTTGAGATAAAAAAGTTAATCGCACGAGCGGGATTCGAACCCACGATCTTCGGCTTGATACGCCGCTGCTCTACCACTTGAGCTATCGTGACCTCGATCCACTCGGACACCNTTTATAAATATATAGATTGGGAATGCAATTTTTCTACATGACTTCACTAGGGATTTTGGCTGGGCATGTCTGGAGAAGTTAGCAGTTCTGTTTTATTTCAACTTGCTTGTTTTATTATTTGTTCTGTGTGCTTGTTTTCACGCCCTAATTATTTTGATTTAAATTATACGCAATATTGTGAAACTGATGGAATCATGCTAGCTGATATTTGCCATACCAGTGGTTCTCTGTTCCAATCCCAGCATAATCTATGGCTTTTTATTTAAGAGTAATATGAAAAATGTATTGTATAGTGGTATGACTTGTCCATGACGCCCAACAGGTAGTTGAACGTACGACTGGAATTATTTTGTGAAACTGGAGGAATCTGCGAGAGGATCAACCCGTGATTTCATCCTGGTTTTGTTTGTCAGACGTATTTTTTGATTTTGAAATGAATGATGGAATGAGTGCTGTGTTCAATCCTTTTTTAAAAAAGATACCTACAGTAAGTTGTTTTCCAACAATCCGGATTTTGAGCCCTTAGCTTATAATCAGGTTGAAGGATTTCTACAACCACGTTATTTTTTGATGTGTTTAGGCTTTTGCCTATTAGACAGAACTAGCTAGAATAGACCAGGATGATTGGAAAATATCAAGCTGCAAAAATACAATTTGTACCCGAGGCAAAATGTTGCTCAAAAGCTATCCTTTCAATTTTTTAAAATATATTTTTTTTAAGTTCAAATCTAATTTTGATATCAATCCATATTTAGTAGTCATAGTTGACCTATTAATTATTTTAATATAGTTTTGAAGCAGCATTGATGCAGAAGTGTTGTGAGTAACTAATATTTAACAAAATTTAAATATTTAATATCAAAAAAATTATTTAATAGGATTTTTTTTCAAGATGATATGAATAATTTATTTTATATTTCAATATTCTGATAAGATTCAGAATACTAATTTTTTAAGGATTGAATTTTTAATGCTAAAATTAAAAATAACGAACTGTGATTTAAAAAAAAATGTTTACTTTGGATGTTTGTTGAAAAATGTTTGTTTGAGTCACCTATGAGTTACGGGAATGCAGGCCCAATGAAAATGCAAAAAAAAATTTTTAAAATTTGTTTTTAGTATAACATGTTTTTCAAATAATTGACTAAACAGATAGCCAACATCTTTTTGTAGTTTGATGTGTCACCTCTGACTTTGAGGTGCATCACCCCTGAAATTAGAGTATGCAAGAGGTGATAAGTAAAACAAGGGAAATAAACACTAATTATGAATCAATTTCATTTCACCTTTTATTTAACCTACAAATACACAATTCGAGTTAGTCCCCTTCAAGTCAAAACTTAGGACAAATTTTATAGCAGACTTAAGGATAGGGTTTTCAAAAGATAGGGTCACGGCAAGATCCAGTCAAGCACTCCTGCCTCGGCTTGCTCGTTACCCCCGACTTATCTCTTATGTCCAGGATGAACCTGTGACAGATGTTTAAAAGTCTTTCATTATTCATCTAGTTAACACTATTGTGCATTTTATACAATAGTTTTTTTTTTTCCAAGGGTGTTTCAACTATGAGGTTATATGAATCCTTAGGTGCTGGTGTTTTTGAAAAAAAAAAAAGTCCATTTGTAAGTATGTCAGAGTCGAACGGAGAGCTGCAGGATTCGAACCCGGGTGTACCTTACATCTTATTAAGTTCTAATTAATAAAACTTCAAGGAAATATTTGCAAATTAAAACTACATAATACAGAAAGAATCGAAAACCTAATAAATTATTCGATGTGCACAGAAGCTAATAATTATTTGATATGCATATCAATTAAAAAATATTGAATGAATGAACACTTGATTAATTGCAAGATAATTTAAGAAATTAACTGACAAAATAAATAAATAATAATAAATGGCTTTAAAAAAGTTTTGCAAATAAAGGATGTAAAATGCAAAAACTGAGGGAATGCAGTAGCCGAGTGGTCAGTGTGATAGACTCTCGGCTCGAAGATGGTCCTGCGTTCCATTCCCACCGTTGCCCATGGCCCTTTTTTCCTCGGTACCTTTCCCCTGACTACATATATAGATGAAACAAATACTTTTGTCTCTGCCCTATGCGAGTTCATAAGACCAAAAAAATTTTTTGTAATTAAATAACTTTATTAAATAAGCATCTTTTAATACTTTTGTTATGGGTGCCAATCCAGATTGGCGAAGCGAGCATTCCCTATATGTGGGAGATGTTCCAAAATTGACATGTCTCCTTGTAACTTGTTTAATAAATTTTTGGGTCCCTGATGATTTAAATCATCTCCAATGTAACCCCAGAGAATTGTGGATTGATCCTAATTTGTCGAAACAATGAAAAGTGGCACTCACTTTGCCAACTTCTTTTCTTATATTGCCTAAGTTCTCAGGTTCTGGCATCTTAACAGACACAGAGGACATTTCTGATGTTCCGACTTGGTAAAGTTGGCAAGTTTTCTTTTTCTTTTATCCTTTTCGTTTTTGTTTTAAGGTGGTATTTTGATTGTTGACGGCCAGTAGTCTAATTCTACTTGGTTTATCTCAGGCCATTTTTTATTTCTTGAGATGGTTTGTCTCTTATTAAATTCAAGTTTCATTTTGTTCTAAAGTATATAATCCATACACACAGAAAAGCATTTAAAAAAAAAAAAAAATGGTTAGGTATGCTCACTTTTGGTATGAGTATTGGGCAATAAATCCATAATTTATGTATAAAGCAAAAAAAAAAAAAAAATCCTTGCAACTATTGTTGCTGTAGAATTAAAAATATTTAAATAAATGTTTGCACATATCTATTGTGGATACACAATAAAATAATGAAAAAATGATTGATAGGTAAGTAAAACTTAAACCTGTCAATGAAGGAAAGTTTAATAACGAGACTTTTCTGTAAGGAGCATTTATACGGATTAATTATTAATTAATAATAAATTAAGGTAATTGAGATGTGATTTACAGCACGTTATTACAACTGAAATTATTGAGACATTAATAGCTTATTTTTCATTTTGTAAGAGCTATTGAGATGTACAATTAATGTGAATGTGAGCATTGGATCACAATCATTCAACTAAAAGTAATGGATTGAAAAATTGAAGATGGCAAGAGGCTGACAGAAAAAACGTGGATATGTAGTTCAAAATGATTAGAAACAGCCAAAAGTTTATCACCCAGAAGACCTCTATATGAAATCTTACACATTTGATTTGCCACTGCAAACAGAAGAAACTTCGGTGTTATTGGCTGTCGTACTTAACGAAGTCGGACTCATGCCTTTTGACTAGATAATTTTTGTCCATAACGCAGCTTTAAAGCTGAATTCATGCATACTTGTTCTTAAACATATTGTTAATATTCTGTTCACTGCAATATGGTGGTGGAGTAACTTGATACTCCCATCACATAAACATTCAAACTGCCACAAATAAGGGGGAGTACTGGATATTCTTCCATCCTCTTACTTCATGCCAATAAATGTGCTATACTCAGTAGATTCTGTTTTAAGTGTTAGATGTATCGACGAATTTTCTACTCAAATACTGTGAATAACAGTATGATCTTGATGAGAAATCAGTTTCCATTGTTAGAGCAAAGTTTTGACCTATTTTTAGTGTCTGGGGAAAATAATTAAATATCAGTCCTTGGCAATGTTGGGACAGAGTCAGTGTTCAAAGAAATTGGAAATTGTAAATGAAAAACTTAATTATTTATTATTATTATTTATTTGTTTGACAAGATATTTTCTAACAATAAGAAATTTGCATACAGTGGGGCCCTATGCGTCCTCTTTAGCATATCTCCATTTGTGTACCATACCTTCTGAAAAACATTATTGTCGATGTTGATGGGAAAATGTTCACGAAAAACCTTTACTTTAACAAATCCTTTGCGTTAACAAATCGTTACAGTATTGTTAACTTAATTATGTCAATTTGTAGACATATTTAAGATCGTTTCGCTCTGATGACCTTAAAATAGGTCGAAAGCTTGGCAGTAAAAACTAAAATCGCTTTTTTATCAGGGACATGATCCAGAATATTTGTGGATACAGTCGAAACACCTTTGTCCTTTGTGTGCTTAAGTGCAAATATTGTATCGGGTGGCATGACTACCAATCTTTATATGGAGCCGTGAAATAACATCCTTCAATTATGTAAAATAAATGTTATGTCCAAAAATAAGTATCCCCGTGGATCGACCTACATGACCTGAGTTGATAATATATTACAGATTTGGGATCACAAGTTCAATCTTGCATTTAAAAATGTTTCAAATAATGGTATAAATTGGTATAAAGAAAATATCAGAAAATGCATTGTTTTGTTGTTGGTTTGGCTCATATATATATATATATATTTATTTAATTATATACTGTTATAAATGTACATATATATTTTTAAATATTAGTTTTACAGAAAGGTTAATTATTTATTGTTTATTTTTTGTTCTCTATTATTCATTGTTAATTTTTTTTTGTAGTACTGATGAAGATGCCCGCCAAGCTATGCTTAAGGATAATGGCAAACTGAAGGAGGTGAAAATCAAATTATTTCTCAGTTCAAGAACTGAAATGCTGAGAGTAATTGAACAGGCACGTCAACAGGCTATGAAGATACACAGCTTGATGCACATTCCGAATCAGCCAACCAACATTCCTTCAGTAATGTCAAAGACAATAGCTGCACCAGAGGAAACTCCTGAGAATGTGAAGGAAGATTTGAATAAGGCGAAAGATGATGACAATAGACGAGACAAAAGGGATAGATCGACGAGTAGAGGGAGGTCTAGAGGAAGGGGAAGTGACTCAGACCGCTCTCACGAGAAATCGAGGAGTCGCAGTTATAGAGATAGGGAGCGTGATAGGCGTAGGAGGGATAGAAGTCGTTCAAGGAGCAGAACGCGCAGTAGAGACAGGTACAGGAGTCGAAGAAGCAGATCCCGTGACAGGAAGCGAAATTCTAGGGATAGTGATTCAAAAGACGCACCTCGGAATAATAGAAACCGAGATAATAGAAACCTTGATAGGCAAGACAATAAAGAAGGCCATGGTAATGGAAATATGCAAGATTGGAATCAGTCTCAATTTCAACCTAAATTGCCGGATCCTCCTGCAATCCCACCAAAACTATTGCAAATGCATCAGAACGGAAAAGAGCTCTCACCTACCAATGCTTCGATGCCATTTATGGATTTAGAGAAACGAGGTGGGTTCCCTTTTCCAAATCAAATGGCACCGTTGATTCCTCCATTCCCGCCAATGCAACAAATGAGACCGAGAGAGGGTGGTTGGCCTGCGATGCCTATTCCACCAATGATCGATCCTTCACAACTGGCCATGCAAAGGCCACCAATGATGAACAATATGAACACGGTGATGTTTCCAACACCAAACATGATGTCAGAAGCACCACCATTTGATTCGTCATGGAGGATGAACCAAATGCCTCCTATTGAAACTCAAGTCGAACCGGTCATAGAGAATTCCGACCTTTGTGTTGAAATTCGAGGATTACCTTTAAATGCATCTTATATCGATGTGAAAAAATTATTTGATGGTTTAATAATTCCTTCTGATGGCATAAAGATGATTAACGATACTCATGGTTATAGAACTGGGATAGCCTATGTCAAATTTTCCAATGCAAATCACAAAAAATCTGCTTTAAATCAAAATGGAAAAAAGGTTCGAAGCAATATTGTCGAAGTTCTTCACCTAAGGGATACAATATATAAAACTGCAGTTGATAATTTTAAACCTGATAAAGATGTTATTTTAAATTCTGTAGACATGGATATTGATAACAGCGATGTAAATGAAGAAAAGTGGCCGCCGACCGGTAACAAACATGTTTCTGCAGAACATGATACATCTAAACATTTGTTACCCAAACATGAGATGTCTAGGAAGGAAGATCTATTAAGAACAAACTGGATAATACTTAAAGGATTGCCTATGGGCACTAATGAGAGAGATGTCTTTGAATATTTTAGGGATAAAAATCTTTCACTGATTCAGGTATTTTTCGTGCACAATAATGTAGGATTGAGTATCCCAGATGCATATTGCTGCTTTCTTTCTAATGAAGATGCTGATAAAGCTGCTTCTATAAACAACCCAGTTATGGGCAGGACCCAATTTTCAATACTAAAAACATCCCGTGAAGATGCCGAGCGGGCTACAATGACTTCTTTCCCTCAAGAACCTTGGAATCAAGGTTGTAGACAGGTTGGTGGTAACAACTCCGTACCACAATCATTCCCACCACGTGTAGCTGTATGTCCTGAAAACATCAACCCACACCAAAATATAAAAGCTTGGAGACAGCCTAATGAAGATAGGTTTAAGAAAAACGACAACTTTATGGAGGGTAGGTTTAAAGACCCAAGGAATGACTCATTTTCCGGGCGAGGGGGCTCGACGAATTTCAGAGGTGGAGGAAGAATGAACAGGTTCGGAAATGGGCCGATGGGCAACAACGGACCTCCCATGAACGGTCCTATGAAGGGGAGGATGAATCAAAGGAATCGCGGTCCTTCACCCCCTGCTTATATCGATGGAGATATGTTGGAAAATTTTGGACAGAGAGGTTGTGTCGTATCACTTGAAAATATTCACTTCAAAGCAGATATTGAAGAAATTATGGACTTCTTCAAGGAGTACAATATTGAACACGATGATGTTATTAGACGGTTTGATGATAAAGGAAGGCCTACAGGTGATGCAAGAGTTGCCTTGCAATCTCCTGCAGAAGCTATGAGGGCTGTCAGAGAATTGAATTTCAGACAGTTGAGAGGCAGAACTGTAAAAGTTAGTTTATTAGACGTACACTAATTAATTCCATGATGTAAATAAATTAATAATTTTTACAATTCCCACATTTTTTCTAAAATTCATGTTTTATCGATGAATTGCAAAGTTATTTGAACACTGCTTTATAAATTAACAGTTTTTTTATTCAGGGGACAAAAGTGTATTTACTTTTTTGGGTATATTAGTTTCAATTGTTCCTACAATGTATAAAAGTGTAAATAATTATTTTATATAATGTTGGGAACTGTTTTGCTTTGAAGAATAATTATATATTTTTTTCATTACATGTAGCTTTTGTAAATAAAACCTAAAGTTAATTTTTCTGTAGTTTTATCTCATTCATTGTAAGCATTTACTCTTTAGGAGAAAATAAGATTTGTTAAATGTTAAAGCTTGTTTTGTTTATTACACCTAAGCTACCCGCTCTTCTGATCATGATGATATGATAGATACAAGAAGCAGGTTTGTGCTACCTACTGCTACCTTCTTATTGTACCTTCCTAGTTCCCTAGTTCAGTACAATAGACACTCATTCCTTCTCATAAGTATTAGGCCATTGACTGTCTTTGCTACAATTTAATTCCTTCAATTTTATTTTATCCTACGTTGTGTCGCCATTAAGCCGTTGTTTCATATTCGAAGATGTGTGTAGTGTTGCTTCCTCCTTGCATAATCTGCAAATGGATCGACATTGAAAATGCCCATGTTATGTAGATGTTTTCTCAGATCCAGTTACCAGTCCTATCGCTCCTCCGAATGTGGCCCTCTCCAATTGCAGCAGTGAGTTTCCAGTCTTGTAGTGAGGGTTGTTTTAATATAAGCTTATTGGTCTAGCACCCCTTGAGTTTACCTTCTTTTTCTTAGTGATGGAGTACTTCAGGGCCTATATATGGCCTTGCAGATCCTCTCTGCCCAGTGTCTGCTTTTTCGTTACCAAAAATTCCTTTGTATGTGGCACTCAGGGTGGTTTTGGTTTTGGGTGTATTCACTGATTAGTTTTGATGTGAATTTTTATATGCTAATGCTTTAATAGCTGCTTGGTCATCCAGTCTTATGATTATTTTTTTGCCAGTGTAATTCTTGTAAGATTTTATTGTTTTTGAAGCCTAAATGATCTTAGCTTCTTCTTGTATGAATGTTTCCAGTGGAAGTAGATACAGGAGTTGATTAGAGCACTTGTAGGGGTTGTTCTCAAAGTCCCTGTGATATATTATAGGTTTGCTAATCTGCTTCTTAATCATAAAAAGTAAGGATTTTCAAATGTCTCTCAAAAATTGTATTAGAATGAACCTAAATTAATCATTGGTTTATGAAAACGTTTATTGCTGGATATTTGCTCAATTAGAAAAAATGCGGTAGGTCAATTTAAGTGCGAAGTTGTGACTAGTTAAAGGTGTAAAATTTCATGAGGTCTGTGGGTGTGGTCGTTTTCGATAATTTTTCTCTGCTTATCCACTATTTGGTCCAAAAATCAGACCGAAAACTGCAAAGAGACGTAAACCAAAATTATCTGAAATTACTGTCTAATTGATAATGATTTTGGGGGTGTTGGCAGATTCTAAGCACATAAATAAAAAATTTCTGCGTTTAAGCGAATACGATTTGGAGATAATCTACCAGATAGCAAAACCAGCGAGTTTAGGTGTACCAGGATGGTAGGTAACCAACTACTGGACCGACACCTAGCAGACAATAAGAAATTTCAAAAAAATAATTCTTGTGTTCATGAAATTTGTATCCTTACGAGCAGTAATTAAAAAAAGGTAAATTGTGAGATTTTGTACAAAAACCGGGGTCTGCGGGGTAATGATGTAGTTTGTTCTTTCAGATCATTTTGTTCTATTTATGTCAGATTGTTTTGTGGTTTTGGCTTCTCGCCTTCATTTTGTGCTTGGGCGGATAGGCAGACGGAAGTGATCGGAAAGGACCAAATTACAATTTTTGCTGTCTAATTGGTACTACTTTTAAGGGGTGTTTGCAGATTCTAAGGAAATAAATAAACGAGTCTACTCGGAAAATAGAACATAATTTTGGGGTTGTTGGTGGCTATTGGTCTGCGAGTCGGTCAAAAAATGAACCGGCATTGAGTAACTCTTTTTTTTTTTAATATCAACCCTCGGGGTGCCGGTGTTTTGAAAAAAAAAGCCCATTTGTATGTCGGGTTTGAATGCAGCGTCGCTGGATTCGAACCCGGGACCTTTACCACCAACGCCCCCTTCAGATGTTTCTCAAACGCGTTCGACTTTCCGCCAACTCCAGTCAGGAGGAAATAAACGTAGACAAGTATTTAAATAAAAATTACGCCCCTATGCAGAAAGACCAACACGAACTAAGCAGGGTTAGGCGGACAAGAAGGATGGAAAGAAACTACCGGTCGTAATTCTCTGCGAAAGATCTGCAAAGTTCTTTGAAATACGTTTCCTTAAAAGCGGTAATTTTTGTTGTCTAAATTAAACTTTCAATGGGTAGTATTGCCGTATCAAAACAGCGAGGATGACCAGTCGGTAGGGAACCAACTGTCTATCACCTGGCACAACCAACAAGAAAGATCACAATCTACAATTGACTGTATTGATTGATCCTGTATTGATGACTATTTCACACTCTGAACTTTAGCAAAATCCTCTTTATTTAAGTAATTAATTATGATAAGAGACCCAATACTGAAGATGGCGAAGTGTCGAAACGCGTCTGACAGACCAAAAATTGTAGGCTGGCCGAAAATGATCGGTAACGACCAAATTACAGGTTCATCATCCTGCAAAAACAACAACGAGAACTCTCAAAACTATAATAAATTAATAACAATTCAATTGTTATATTTATTTTTGAACAATTTACAACTTTGATTTTTGCAAGCTTATTCAAAGTCACAGAGCGTCGAAGATCATTCGAAGTATCTACAAAAAGACGATATCATAGGCAAACATTAAATAAATAACGTAAATAATTAAGTAATATTAATATTATTGTAAAACTAAGAATGGTTCCGAAAGTAATTTTTCAGCTAGAATCTGCTGGTGTTATTAGAATTTCAATAAGTTTAACACGTCCTACTGATCAACTTTTTTTTTCGAAAGGTGATGTTCTATTTTTCACACATTTTGAAAGTCCTTTGCAAAAAAATATATACCAGAAACTCAAAAATACATAGATTTGTTCTGTAGATATTGAAGTTTTTATACGAAACTAAAAAAGTTCAAATTATCGTGTAATTGGTTGTTGTTGTGTAAAGTTTGGTTTTATTTTAATTTTACATGATTGCATTTCATACCATCTAAGTTTTTTAATGCTTTCAAGAAAAGGTAATTTTTATTTCAAAAGGGTTAATTTGAAATTACCCTAAGAATAATTAATTTAATGCGAAAAAAGGTTTATTTCAAATTTAAAAAGGATAAGGGGACGGAGAATGCTTTTAAGCTATAGATCTTTGAAAAAATGTAGTTTTTTTAACCTGCTCTAATTTTCAATTTTATTTGGTCTTTTTTGGTGTTACATAAATTTTATATTTTATAAAATTTCAAATTAAAAGAAAAATGATTTATTTTTATATTTAATTTTATAATTTTTAATTGAGCTTCATATGATCTTTTAAGCTCAATTATATTTTATTAACAAAAATGTTACAGGAATTTTACTTTACTTGCTTACATTTCATACCATCTCCTAAGTTTTTTTAATGTTTTAAAAAAAGGGTTAATTTAATGCGAAAAAAGGTTTATTTCAAAATTAAAAGGGCTCATGTGACGGAAAAATTTCTAAAGCTGTAGATCTTTGAAAAAATGGAAAATTTTTTTTAGTCTGTTTTAATTTTTAATTTTAATTGCAATAATTGATTATTATTCTTAATTTTGTTATATTTTTGGTCTTATTCAAAAGAAGTTAAATATTTTATATTTTATAAAATCGCAAATTAAAAGAAGAATTATTTATTTTTATATTTAATTTGATAATTTTATTTTAATTGAGTTTCATATGATCTTTTAGGCTAATTATTTTTTCATTAACAAAAATGATACAGGAAGTTTTTTTTAATGTTTTAAAGAAAGGGTTAATTTGTAGTTAAAAAAGGTAAATTTGAAATTAAGAAATTAATTTAATGCCAAAAAAAGGTTTATTTCAAAATTAAAAGGATTAATGTGACGGAAAAAGCTATAAAGCTGTAGATCTTTGAAAAATGTATAGCTTTTTTACTCTGTTCTAATTTTTAATTTTAATTGCAATTAATTTTATGTGATATTTTTTGGGTTATACAAAAGAAGTTAATTATTTCATATTTTATGAAAATCTCAAATTAAAAAAAGAATTGTTTATTTTTATATTTAATTTGATAATTTTTACTTTTATTTTGAGTTTCATATAATCTTTTAAGCCCAATTATTTAAAAAAACACGAAAATGATCGAATATAGGAATTTTACATTACATAATTATATTTCATATCACGTGCTAAATTTTTATTGTTCTAAAGAGAGGGTTAATTTGAAATGAATAGAAAGGTTAATTTGAAGTTCTAGCGTTAATTTCAAATTTAAAATGGTTAATTTAACGAGAAAAAGCTGTAGATCTTGAACAAATTTGTATATTTTTTTTAGTTTGTTCTTTCAGATTTGACTTCATGCTATTTTCAACGTGTATTATTATGTTTAGACCTAATTTTTCACTGTATTTCTTTTATTCTCATGGCTCTTTGCACATGCAGGACGTGGTTTTATCAAAATTGCCTTTTACAAATACTTGTAGTTCTTCTTCGTATATATCGTGAAAAATCTTAATTTATTTTGTATTTTAATTATTCTTTCAAGTAGTCAAGTTGGTCAAAGGATCTTTGTTTATGCAAATAATTATAAGTGACACAACACTGAAGATGGCTAAATGTCGAAACGCGTCTGATAGAGCAAACCAGTGATACGCAGGCCAACAATGATCGATAACGACCAAATTTCATGTTCACGACCCCACATAAACAACAAAGAGAAATCTCGCAATCGTAATAATTTAATGATGATTCAATTGTTATATTTACTTTTGAACAATTTACAACTTTGGCTTTTGCAAGCTTATTCAAAAACAGGGCGTCGAAAATCATTGGAAGTATCCACAAAAAGACGATATCGTCGACAAATATCAAATAAATAACGTAAATAATTAAGTAATATTAATTTGTTTAGGGTCCCTGGTGATTCAAAAGCTTTACTGTTCTTACCTAACCAGACCGATTATGGATTGACCTTACTTCATTAGCTTATGTTTTCAATTTTGGAGATTCACTCATCCAAAAAATCTCTTTCTTTTAAATGGCCTGTTAAAATTCGTTCTTTTTC